AGATCTGTGAGATACGAAGAAACTGAAGAAGAGAGTCTTTCCGCTTGAAGTATATCGTTTGCGGATGAAATAATACAAAAGAAATATTGTACACTTAATATGAAACAGAGACTTCTTCATTAAGCTTGAGTTTGTCTTGAGCCTCCAGCAGTTTGTACAATCTGCAAAGTGGGTGAATAATGAATTGATTTCATCGATCAATAAGAATGAAAATTTATCTGATAATGAGAGTAAACATAATTTCGAAACTTGTTTAAGGTTCCTAGACATTCTTTGACTGGAAAATCCATTCATAATGGGTTGATTCAAATCACCGAGAAAAATTTTGGCTCTGTGATTTCTCTTCGCAAAGTTATTGTTTAAATTTTCCGATTTCCGAATCTGTTGAAGTGACTATACTTGCTCTTATTCGACTTCGTTTTTAGAGGAACTTTTTAGCTAGATTTTTGAAATGGTTTATGATTTGGTGAGAGTCACAAATTGTTTCAAATATTCCTAAGAGATGAAAAACACGAAATCGGAACAAATTCCATCTCCAAATAAGTTTTCTACTTTTCTGATGGTTCATGGTGAGAGCATTGCATAAGTGTTTTTCCTTAACACTGAAACATTATTGCGAATGTTGAGAAATTATTCGATCCATTGTCGACATACATAAAGAATGATGGTCAAAAGTTGACGACATTAATAATCGCTAAGAAACTGTCAAATTGACTGATTCTATACGAATATGCTAGCGTTTGTCGCTGTGGCGATTAATAATATAAGACAGTTTTGATGTCTCCGAGTGCTTCAAAAAAAAAATTCGCGCTGAAACATTGCCATTTTGCATGAAGTTTCCTGATGATTTAGGTTAAGTCGAAACGCTGACCCCGTATATGTCCTTGGTTCTAGATACAGCCTTGTTTGCTGCTGGAACTATTGCAATGGTCGTTGTACCGACTGCGTTCTTGCTTGGACTTTTAGATGTGCTCCAATAGAAAAGCAACATTATTAAGCTGAAACCAGAAATATCCATCATCAAAATCATCGTATTAGCAATTTTCTAAACTCTAATCTTCTTATTGTTATTGGGCTGATTTTTTAACTTTTAATAATGTAAGAACTGCATTCATTAGGAGGCACTGAAAAACACTAAAACAGTAGCTAATTACTGCATACAGTAGCAAAGACACTAAAATAGTAGCTAATTAACGGAAACATTAGGAGGTAATGAAAGAATTTGGTTACATCGAATTTTATTCAACCGATAGTGACGAAAAGGAATTCAAGTAGAAACTTTCAGCGATATCAACGAAAAAGTGACGAATAGTTTCACTCATTTCAATAATAAAAATTCTAACCCGTCAAGAGCGTGTTGCATTATAAACGGTAGAGTTGACGAGATGAACAACATCCATTTTTCGTCAATTGATGCACTCAAAATCGTTGTACTTGTTTCGCATATTATGAACAACATATTGCTACAACCAACCTGCAAACAACCAACGAATATTTTTATTTTACGCACTCAGATCGTGTCACTTGCTTGCAAGCGAATAGTGCGAGTTTTTGCGATACACTCAAACACGTATAACCTATTTTCAGATGAATGATTCACATAGAATCTTCCAGCTGAGTGTTTTCTGAGCTCAAAAAGATTTTCCGAAAAAAAACTGCAAGAAATTAACCTGCGCAAAGCATCTTATGTCACGTCTTCGTCTTGTACGTACCGAACTTGATTCATGTGCCAATCTACTGACGGCTCTCTGCACAGAAACATTCATAATGTGTCGTTAATAGATCACTCATTCATTTCCAGAAAACGTACTGTTCAGAACAGTTAAAATCATGAACATTTATGGTTTTTGATGGTTCTGCGATGCTCTTATCCGCATCGCAAATTCTACTCAACAAATACACAGTTAAGGTTTGAAATTTCTGTGAAGAAATTGAGAACAATGAGCAACTAAAGAGTGAATGAGTTACTTTACGAGTTCGGTGAAGTCGAATGATCACAAGACCATCGATCAAAATCATCAAAATTTCCACAGCAAGTGTTAAAATAAAATCAATGTAGAAGTTTTCGAATGTTCCACAGTTTGCATTCGAAAACCACCACGAATAGAATTCCTTTTTGAATATAAGCTCGCATTCATCTGAAAAGCAAAGAATGCAATTTTATTATCGCTAGATGAATGAATAAATGCTCTATGGCATGACTGTGTTCGTATGAAAGTGATGCTGAGCAATTGCTGATCAAGATGGAGAAAATCTGATAGAGCATGAGACGAGTCAACAAAATGATGGACGTTGAAGTTAGGACATAACCTATCCATATTTGGTATTGTTCATTCGATACTCCATTCAGTTCATTCGACAAAGAATTGACTACTCGATTCACAACCAGTATTCATTAGAGTGGTTACGAATCTGCTTAATCTGGTCATGCAATCCATACGTATGTCTCTGAATGCTATCTGATTCCTTTTCCGCGCATAAAATTCAATACAGGTTGGAATTAAGATTTCAGTTTACCAGTGAGAAGTTTGTCCGTCAACAAAATCCGATTTTACGCAAAAAAATCACAGCCACAAGAACCGTAACGTAACGCCTAGCCTTATGACATATGACCAAATACTATAACCATTTTCATTGCTCTTCACATTATTTGGACCGACACAGAAGAGTTAAAAACGCAAAAGTTCGAAATGGATTAAGCTAACAGAAAGTTTGGGCTTGTTTTTAGCTGACGCCTTGCTCAGACTTACACTTGGCCTCAGCTTTACGACCTTAAGCTCAAGATCCGGGTACTTTTTCAGTCAACAATTTCCCGACCCGATTATAGACACTGTTCAGTGAACCCTCATCTCATCATCTGATTGCTCATTTATGTAATCGACGCTGAGTTGATTATCGATCAGGAAGTGTGAAAACTCACTGAAATAATACGGTGATGTCAGTAAGTAACACATCAAGAAGATGACTAAAATGTAAGCGATAGTTCGATGACTGCTGAAAGTTCGCTGATAAACAAACGGCCAAAAGATGGCAACGCATCGATTCAGAGTGCCCAATAAATGCATGAAAACAGTCACATAATATGAGCCATTAGCAAGCTGTGCGCTTGTATGACTATACCAAACGTCCATCGGTGCGTTCCTGAAAATGAACAAATCTTAATAAACAACTGATAACTTTTAATGGAAATGCAAAATTTTAAAAGAGATGATAAGACGGTTCATACTTTCAAAAAGTTTCGCGCATCACGCAGCAATAGAGACTTTGCATTTTCAGAGCAGATCTTCACTCAAAATAGCGCGATGAGTCTAGTTGCTTTTTGTACCAGGATGGGAATTTCATGATAAGGTTTTGATGTGATTCGTCACGGTTGTTCATCTTATTCAGTCACCAATTAAAGCTCATTTTCACGATGTTTGATTAGAACAAGCCATCAAATTGAACTGAGACTGATAAAACTCACCATACAACAACCGCTTCAGTCCAGCAAAGCGAACTAAGAATCGTCATTGTGTTACTGATACTGGACGCAATAACGATATGACCAAAAGCGTTATGCATCCTCATTCGACAATGAATCATATAAATTGCCAACAGATTGAAAACGATGCCCAATAACGATATCTAAATGATCAATCAGCTCAAATTTCATTCGTTCTATTCATTCAGCGGAGTTGGAGAAATCTTTGACTCAAGTTGGAGGGGGTATAGATCCATCGAGTCCCGCATTTCGCTATTAAATTCTATTTTCAAATCAGTAATTACAGATGATTTTTGTCATCAACATCACAGCTATCGGTAGATTCTCTACTTTTTGAAATCCTTATCCCCATACAGCTAGCTTGCCAGTAATCATATATCGGCATCAACTCCTTGCTATCTGCAGTAATGATTCAGCGATCACAACCCAGTTGTGACAGTAACTCTCCCATTCTGTTCAATATTTTGCTGTGAAATGTGTGCTTGCAATAGACAAAGAAACTGCCTGCTATCCTCTAGATTTGCTTTTCAAAACATGTAAACGAACTGCTTCAGATAAACTCGGATATGACGAAACTCGATCGGTTTAAAACCTTCTGCAGTGATCGATAAGCAAATGATACCTCAAAGAACCATTCAATTTTTGAAGAAAACTCATTGAAAAGTTAAAAAATCACCGCTGAAATGACCACAGCAACAGAGATATCATCGGAAGTGATTCGATCATGCGAGGACGAATTTTTATTAGCTGATTCGAGTGACATTCGGTTGAATTTCGTTTGCATGTTGCGCGAAAATGCTGCCGACATTTGCAAGTAGTCAAATAACGACTGAACTGGATATGAGAGAGTAATTCAGTGGGGAGCGATTAATGGTAGTCGGGCAGCGGCTATCTGAAGAGAATAAATTTGCAGGGCGAAGAAATGAGCGATAGTTAATTTCAATTGGGTGTGTCGTTGTTTGGTGTGGATTAATGAGGTGTCTCGTTTAGATCAATTCCATTTATGGGTTTGTTGACAGCACGTTCTCGAATATTTCTTCACAGAACCAGCATTCATTTCTCAGAAAGAATTCAGCCAACAAATTGGAGTTTGACACCAACATTAAGAAACCTATGCTTACACCTACTTTAAAACACAACATAACTAATTCTGGGTTCTTTATCATAGTTCATAATCTATATGAGTTTAAAGCAATCAAATGTTATTGGAGTATTTAATAGGCTTAATTAAGTATTGAACGAAGTTATTTGCGAAACATGCAAATAATTCAATATCATTATTCCTAACAACCACTAAACTGTCCTCGTTCACTACAGTTTCAAACATTATTCTTTCATGCTGATCCGACATTTACATAAACCAATTTGATGATGTGCGATAGAACAAATGACTTCGATTTTAGCGGACTTACAGGGCAACTCATGAAGGATAATCAAAACTAGTAATTTTATTTACAACGTTGCACTTAGTTCGCAATAAGTGGTAGAAAATCAATCTTCCACGGTGCTGAAGAAATGGATTAATTGTGGAGAACTGATGTTACAGATTGCAGAACAAACGAAATCATTTGAATTCAAATGCTGTCACTGAATTTAATGCAATTCTCGTCATCCAATAAGCATTCAAGTCTAAGGCTCTATTGACCGTATTCGATAAAGTGATAGTGCATGATACAGCATTGTACACTTAAAGATCATAACCCAAAGTGACATTATCATGCGCTTTTTAAGCAGTTTTAAGACGAATGCGAAACGATGCAATAGTCTATTATCAGATACAGGTTTGATGTGATGCAACTTATTTGCACTTTCATTTATTATTTTATTTATTTGTAAAGAGAAAAATCCATTTGAAATTTAAAAAAGAGTTCAGTAAATTAATGTGAAAGCGAACTATCCGAACGGCATAACAACATAAACGAGCAAAAGTTGATCAGCAGCAGTACGAATGAGATCAACTAAGATCAACTCATAAAGAAGTCAACTAATGAAATTCCAGTCATCGTATTAAATTATCTCTTAAAGCCAACTACATTCGTGATACGGAATTGAATTCAAGATTGCAACGATCGATGTCTTCCCAATGGACATGCTAAGTGTATAAATTCAATACTGAATATTGCACAAGAATGAATCAAGCGAAGGGCGTTTTCAGTACAAATTTTCGACAGGTGAACAAGCTGCACTTGTTCACCTGTCGCATCTGACATTCAATTTTTAATGCTCAATATTCAGTGTTTTTTGACGCTAAACCTCCAATTTTGAGCAGCTGATTTAAAGTTTCAATTTTGATTATGAATCGCTGTCAAACCGCAAACAAAAAATGTAGCTTACGGGAATTAATTCAATCCAAATTCAGAAGGCGGCCTTTTTTCTATCCTCGATAAGATGAAGGATTTTTGCTTGAAAACCTCCCGCTAACGTTAATTGAACATATAATTTAACTGTGTTCGTATACCGATGAACTTCAGCTAGAATGCCAACTGACCAAGCTCATTGAAATGATTTCAAAATAAACGAAACAAAATACGCCAGGGAAAAACGAAGACGCAACGAAGTGATAAGCATAATCGACTGAAGAACGATCTCAAACAAATGAAATCAGTTCATATTGAACCATCTTCATGTCTAATTGTTGAACTGAATAGCTGCGATTAACACGCGAATAACCGACAAATTCGTGTGTCCTAGTCCAGTGCCTAGATGGTTGCTTATTGATGCGATGTAATGCTCACTGAAACGCTGCTGAAAGAAAAATTCACTTCAATTTGTAATATGTAAAGAAAAAAATTAGATATGTAATCACTTCAAACGAATTAATTAATATACTTATTGATCTGTTTAGAGGAAAGCTAGTTATTCTTAAAATGGTTTTATTGTTCTTATTCATTGCATCACACTTCTTCATCATGCTCGATCTGCTTCTTGGTCTACATTCATATTCTGCTTGCACGTCTATTTCATATGTGGTGAAATGATGAGCGGAACTGGCGATGAAGCGAGAGCTTTCAATGGCAACGAATGACTATTCGGCTAAAACCTTTCTGTAGTGGTTGTTCGACGATGAATATGAGTACAATCGACTTGTTGTTCACGTTCTCCCTCGATGAAAATCCTCTCGACAGTGTTCGTCTCGCCTTGATCCAACGTTCGCAGAGTGATCACTTGTGGATCGATAGCTTTTAGCGTTCGTTTCCTCTGAAAACACCGAATAAGTCCGCCAGAATTCATCATTTATTTATCAGACTATCGAAAATTGTGTTACAAAGCACTGAAAAGATGATGATTTTTGTTGAATATGTAGGTGTGCATATGCCTTGCGTCTACTGAATTGTTATCTCTTAACTAGGATGAATTCGCTCGGATAAATCGAACCCTTTTATGACTCTTGTTGAAACAATAGTTTCAAGGTTCACTCCAAAGTCGTTTCATCCTAAAAAAAACTCACACAAAAAGAGCATACCATATTGAATGTGGAACGCTAATAATGACGAAAAACGGTGAGTTTCAGAGAAGAGCACAGCACATTCACCTGCACAGGTGCAAGCGTACGTAGCGTATTGAAACGTCTGGCATATGCAACATGCGCTGATAAATGCTGAATTGTTATGAAATTATTTGCTGTGATAATCAGTTGATTGAAGGCACTGTGAACACCGTGCGATATCCTCAGCGCAACATTCTCCCATCGCATTCGCCATTGTTCTGCAGTGAACGGATCTACTTGTGAAACTATCAATTCTGGCTTTATGCATTCCACATCCAATTTTTGCATCTGAATTATTGGTATTTTCAGGACTGAACACATTGAACTCTATTCCCTTAAGGTTCCTTTAAGTTTATGGAGGTTCCGGTTTAGTAGTTCTGCTCCGTCTTCAGTCACTTAAGTTTGTCAAGAAAAATTATTTTGCAGATGGCTTCAAACTGAGAATATGAAATCGAATCATAAGGGTGAAGCACTGTCGCATATGTGGTTATGGTAGAACACATCATACTTGAATTTTTTTCATCGGTGTTAGAACTCTCCATTGAGCGTGAAAAATTGGTGAATTTTTTAGCAGAATTTTTGTTGGTCGTCCACTCGCTGAAGCAAAATCGTATCGAACCACATCCGTATCGGATTCCATCGATGTCGGCAATGCTCGTCGAGCCTCTGTCAACTTAAAAACAGTCTTCAGCAATAATACGAACATCCTTCTATTGTGCACGTTCACATTTCCTACTTATCCAACAATCTGTTCCGTTCGATGGAATTTTGATTGTGCCGGTAATAAAAACCGAAGGTACTAATGGCTCGGAGAAGAGACTGTTTCAATTCCTGTGACAATGCACCGCTGATCAACAACAGAACAAATGCATAGAATTAGGCGGTACAACGAAATTCTATTCTTGACAAGATTCGTTTACAAGTACAGGTATATTTCCCGAAGTAAGAATTTTACATCCATCGGAAATCAACTCAATTCATCGAGTTTACAGATTTCCGACACTTTGAATATCCCGACTACCGTTTTGTTCCATTGCTATGCCGAATTAAATTCAGCAAAGAATGCAATGTGCTCACCGATGATCGTACATCAAAATAGACCTCATGAAGACCAGAAGTTCGAATCACACTCGTCAGATCTTTAAATGCCCCTCTTTGCAACGGACAACATCTAAGCAGAACTGGCTCTCGTTTTCTCAAATCCAGTTCTTGCAATCGCAAAATATTACGTTCTGCAAAAAAAATTTGAAAGCCACAATTGGACACCTATTGTTAAAGTCTCGATTTCATGACGTAATTCAAATATGATCATTTTCTGTTCATTGTTCGACTCAGATTCTCCAGTCCTTGTGAATTTTATGATAGAAATGTGTAATTTTGCATCATTCATTTAGCAAGAAGTCTGCCAAAGAAAGCTATGAGAGGTGTTCGTACCAAGTTGAAACTCAGGTGTTTGTCTATACTCCAACGAATCCGGATATGAATCATTCGAGTAAATTTCATCACGCGTATGAACGTTGATCCGTTCCTCAACCGACAACGATGTGCTCATTGTTGAATAGTGAAAATGAATTCAATTTGATGGTTCAATTTCATATTCAAGTGCTGATTTCGCATTATTAATAATTTATCCAAATTTTCGAATAAAATATGAAAATTTCGATTCAAAATCCTGCTGCCTCATGGCCAGCCGTTATATTGTTGTGTTATAATGAATTATCGGTTCATTTCCTCTCCTCCGTACTAATTTTCTGAAATAATTGTTCACATGCTGAATTAAGCTGAAATTTATCGGACTTTATTATTTCTTAAAAAAAAACGAGTTTCAAAAGAAATATTTATTGATGACACACAGTTCATACAGTGCAACTTATGATCAACAATAAATTATTATATTTTCATCCATCAATTTCCTTTCCATAGAAATCGATAGATAACAGAGATGGGAGATTAGCCATCCACCTTTTTTATCACTAGAATTTCATTTCCTGAAGAGGTTTGATTGCTTGTGTCAGCATCGCTAGATGTATGGAAAGAATGATGTCAGAGAGAGGGTGATATTTGTAATAACAGAGGCAAAACTCTTAATCATTTATTGCCGTTGTTGATCAAACAAACAGGTAAAATACATTCTCATGCAAATGGAGAAATATGTCAAGCGATACCAAGACTGCACCGCAAAATAAATATTATGATGAAGAATGGACATGTTCTCAATATCAGTGAATATCTATCATAATGTTGCAATTAATGCGAGCTCATAAATAAACCATTGTGGTTATTTGCTAATGATACATCGAAATATTGATAAATACATCCAAGAAAATTCATTTCACTCCAGTTTCACTCTAGCAAACTAATTTTTCAGTTAGCAGAAAGCGATTTTTTTTGCAGCTTCCAACCACCAGTGAGAAAATGTGTTTATTTGCTTCCAAACTGCTGATCGAACTGCTTTTTAGGGACGATTCGTACATTACACTTTGAAAAATTTTTAAGATCTATCAATCGCGTCCATTTTGAGCAATTTATATCACTAACTCAAGTGAGTGATCGTCGATTATTGATTCTATACAACGAACTATAGCATTGTTTGTAGCTTTGTTTTCAAGCGCTCTACTTCTTTTTCCTGAAAGGAAAATATTGAGATTTACTTTATATACAGGAAACAATTGGAACAGAAAGATGTACGTTACAAAGCAGCAACGTTTTCGATCGAGGTATTTTACAAAATTCGAAATGCTTTATATTTCAGTCAACCCATCAAAATTGCAAGACCTTTGAATGCAGAATTCTCAGAATGTATATATGCTGAAAGTTTTTGAGAGAGAAATTCGCAAGAATTATTGTAGAATTATGAAAAGTATGTTTTGTATTCGTTAAGCAGATGTTAAGATGCTCAAATTGTGCAACGGTTACTTGAACGCATTTCACGGATCGATTTGAATTTAGCAATGTCCTATTTCTTCATTTTATGCTGTTTTATTTGCTCATTCCCATCAGGAATGGATGGAGCCATTTATACTTTACATATGTATTCAGATGGGCTCATTCACAATAAATCTTCATTCATTCACAGTTAGATTGTATTCCACATATTTGATTCGACAGTACCATATTTCAGATTGGATGCTCATTTAGAGATCTACTCATTTAGCTGCAATATCCTACTAAAAGTAGTTAATTAAACATCTTACCTTTTCCAGAAGCCTCTCAACTAGCCTCTTTATCATAGCGTTTGCTCGTTGCATCAGTTGATCTTCTGTGTTCTCCTGTAAATTTTAAAAGTTCAGGAGTTTTTTTAATTTTTCAAAAGTTTTTATTTTTAAAAGTTTCAGTATTCTCCGAGAATATAGCATTTGAGCAGTATTGAATTATTCAATGAATAGCCAAAAGCTTTCTCGAAACAACAATCACTGACTGACTCGTTTTTTCTCAGTTGGAGACGCTTGCGCATCGTTGCAGTACGACTCTGCAGTAATCATATTATTTTCTAGCAAGAAAGCCAGTGATTTCTCACGAAACTTCGTCAACAACTTCGCTCGATCCTGAAAAGATCCATGAGCATTCGTTATGTGCCTCAACAAATCGAAAATAACAGCGGTACTGACAATGAGAAAAAGAATCATCTCATAAGCGAAATACTGACAGTGTGTCCTTTCAACAAAAGTGAATTCATAGTTTATTTCTTAAATGATATATTTCCAGCCGATTGATGAACGACAGTTTTCATAGCGGTGACGTATAATTGACGTATAGTTGAAAATTCAACGAGATGGCCATAAAATAATCACTCCTAAACGATCAGTATTTCATGGTTGGAACACTGATCGTTCAGGAGTGACTGAAATACCGAGCGAGTGTCTTTTATGGTTGAAAGGAATGGCGCCAGAAGGAATAAAAAAGATATCTAATCAACAAAAAAGTCAAGAAGTTGAAACAAAAATTTGTTCTCAACGTCAACAAGAAATTCGAACTTCAAATGGTTAAAATTGCGAGCTAAATAATCGAATGAAGCCTACCAGTTCAGGATCGTCATTCATCTCAAGCAGAACTGCTAAGGATGCATTTGTTTCCATCAGAAACCTATCAATTGCTTCGGCCATTTCACCTAAAAAACAAATGAATCTATTCCATGCTCTTGTGCATTTTCTCGTAAACACCTACTGTATAATTCGATTTCGCTTCGTTGCAATCGATCAAATTATCACGATCGCAAGGTCACAAGCTGAAATTCTTGGAATTGAATCGGAGACATAAAAGGGGCGATTTTGGCTGACGAGCTCTCTTACGATTAGCAAATTTTTTCCCAATCGCAATGTGACATTGTAAAAATGAGATATTGTAATGGACAACAATATGATCGAATAATACGGAATATTTCTGAGCCGACCTAAATAAACATCAGATATGCATTTATATTCATAAATACATGAACAATGGATTGCAAAAAATGCTTGAATTTTTGTAACTATAGTACTGCGAGTCTATGAAGTGAAATCATTGAAGCAATTTTAATATTTATTTACTTTTAAGTGACATTCAATTAAACGATATTCAATTAAACACTATAAGTTCTATCACTGAATGATTCGAAGGTGATCGCAATCCAGGATAAGAATATTGATTCTCTTGATGGAATATTGCACGTGATTTTTCAACTTTTTTGCAGTGATACAACCTATGATCACCAATGAGATACAACATGAATGTGTACTGCTGAAGAACAGAGAGAAACGAGTGCGGTGAAGTGCAAAAAAGAAACGCTTTTCGTGATTGATTTTAATTGAGTTCAACGACTTCGAGGCGTTTCGATGTTCCTTTGCATCGCTCTCTGCTCACGTAGTATGTTTTGGTTTCTCTCAGTGAAATTTTTTAAATTTAAATGAGGCAATGAATTCGTTTCTTTTGTGACCGATAACACCACTATTGTGATGTGTAACGTCGTTCGTTACATCAACTTCTTATGAACTAACTATCTAAAATCGGTGAATTATTATCGCTCCCAATGATATAGTTAACAAGAATCACAAGGTAAAGGCAGACTAAGCCTATACCTAATATGTTCCAATTGCAATGAGGTTTCGGTTCACGAAAACTCGAAAGTATTACAGAGGAACAGCAGAAGGATAGTTTCATAGAAGAGAAAATACGTGATTTTTAATCTTAAAAAAATTCGAATGATCAAGCGATTTGATCTTTTACTAAAACGACCATGTAAACTGCTTCTTGAAAGATTTATTTTCCTGAGTGAAAAATAGAGTTTGCACATATTTGTGAATGTTTGTTGATCTGATGAAGAAGATTTCTGCGTGCAACATCTCACATTCATCATTCGATTGATTGTTAATTAACAATTGATGGAATTTAGAGTAGTGAAAAAGTTTTGTGGTACAAATGGAAAAGTTTGAAGAGGATTTACAAATTATTCTAAAATTTTCGATGAATTTTCAAGTGAATCATCAAAATTTTCAATGCAAATCCATAAATTCAAACCGTGTTGTCATACAATTATCGTCTGGAAACTTAGATCTCACATGAATATTTAGTACGCAAACATTTGATCAAACATTATCATTTAATCAATAGGAAAGTAAACAACTGCTAAGTTGTCAGTCTCACGGTACAGAAGAACATAAACATCTATTGATCGAGCTCTGATCGAACAGTAAAGTTTCAAATTTTAGTTTTGTACCATCATAATATTTTAACAGCATAATTACTTTATACAGGTGGATGAATACCGGCGTAGAATAATTTTGCAAAATTGACAATCTTCATCACGGCCGCAAAATTAACATTCACGGCATCTGTTTGCTCCCTCTATCAATTACTGATTATTGAATAAACTCAGAAAGCAGTTTCTTGCACTAGCTGTAAAACAGAAATCTTCTATGCAAACAAATGCACAAAATGCTTATAATCTATGAGTACCCCGTTAATATTAGTGATTAACTGAATAATGGCGAATAAAGCGGTACAATTAGGACAGAACTACTCCACAGCGATAAGCGTTCGTTATCAGTAGGTTATCATATTAAACCAACACATACACACTGTCACCTGATAACAACCAATAATGATGACCTGTACCGAAAACTTAATCATCATTTTCTGTTCTACTTGAACAATAACTGGGAAAATATCGTTATTTGCTGCTGAAAGGAATGGAACTGAATGTTCTCGATGAGTCCTTCGAAATGTTATGAATCGCACTTTCAAGCAGCCAATACTTGTAAGGTTCCCGTTTAGCCGAAGCTCTGCAAGGCACTTCTGGTATCTCAAAGGTACTAATAATGTTTGGTAGATTAATTATGAAATCACGAACAAACTTGACTTGCGGTGAATTTTTTTATTCAAATCCGCATTTCAAATAGAGACAACAATAAATAAATGATATACAGTCGACTGAACAATAATTTGTGCGCATATCTTACACAATTGATCAAAGAATATGAAGGCATTTTAACAGAACATTAACATTAACATTAAATACGAACAACGCAATAATCACCCATCCTTCTGAACGCACAATACAGGTACTTAACGAGGACACTTGCGCCTTGTGCTAATGATTAAATCATCTGAAAGGGAATCTGCCGTTTGTAAATGTCTGGCGCTAGAAATTTACAAATCCCATTCGAAAACGTTGCAAGAGAGAAAGTGCAATCAAGATTTTGAGAGACTAAACAAAATAAACGACTTGGAGTTTACTTTAGAGTGAGAAAAGCATTCCAATAATCCATTCAAGTCAAACAAACAAACAAGCAGTGTTCTTTATGAACCTTTGCTTCTTGAGACGTTCTTGAAGAGTTCTTTGTGCAAACTGTGGAGTTTAATCTATTAAATAGCAATATGAGTTATACGGTAGAAAAAAGATACAATTTGTGCAAAATGCGCATTAATGGGCCAACAAAAAACATAAATGAAATTGTGAGCTAACGATTCACGATTGTTTAACGATGTTCAAAACGGTGAATCTTAGGTGATCTCTCTTGAAATTAAAATATCTCCCAAAAGAGTATAAAACAGGAGGGATTTATCACTTCTCAGTTGTATCTAAGCACAACATTTCTATCAACTCCAAACTGACAATCCTTTAAAGCATGACAGAAGGGTACGGCTGTCATTGGATGAATCGGAATTTTGATGAGAGTAAGATGAATGATGCACCTCAAAATAACACTACTCAGATTATCTAAAATACTTCGTCATAAGAACTATACTCCAACTGAACTGAAGACATACGCGAGGTGAGAGGCGATTTTTGGAACGCAAATATTACCAAATCAGTCGAACAATTTGCCAAAATAACATCTACAAAGAAAACCAGAATTTCGTTAAGTTAGTCAATATGAACTGAGAGGAATATCTGTTCAACAATACGAAATGACGCGTTACAAATCAATGAATAATCCACAAAAAACATAAATAAATCAAACAGACTGTTCAGATTACACTGTCTATAAAATAGTAACAAAACTTAAGGGCGTTAGCATACAGACCCGTTCAAATAACAACGATAATGGTGATAATGCAGATACAAATTGATGATATTTCGAGCATCTGCTTGATGCGTACATCATCCAACTTGCTTATATAACGTTCGTAAATGTATACATATCACATAACAAAACAAATTCGCAGAGGTCACCACATATCAACAGATAATCATCCTCTTCAGGGAAAATGCACAGGGGAATGAAAATATTCCCGGACATCACTGCTGTTACATTTCAACAAGATAAACTGTTACACAGAAAATGATCAAAACAAAATGGAAAAACTAACGCAATTTACAGTACACAACACAGACATACGGCACAATATGCAGTACAATGCGAACAATCCATTATCACAAATCTGACATCCTGGATATGAATAAAACCTCAAAAATGTTGCGGAACATAGCATTCCAAAAAAATTCTTTTTACAATGTAACTTTTTCGTCATCTAGTTTAATACATCTCAGCGATGAAACATGAACGTGCCAATTCAGGAGAAGAGGAATAAATTCGAATGTTCTATTGCTCAATCGAATTAAACGCTCGTTCTCATTAATCAAACAATCCTTAAACTCAAAATGAAATCGCTCAGCGTTTCGAAAGACTAGGTGGAAAGAAAACATTACATTGCATCATCAAAACTTCAAATATAAATGAACAATTGCGTAAGACTTAAAATTTACGAATAAAAATATAACAACCCAATGTAGACAAATATGAACAAGTACGGATGTTAAGAATTGCGATGAGGACACTTCTAATCAAAATATTCTTCCACAATAGCGATCATCAATTTCTGGGAAATTAATTAAATGAAAAACAATCATGGAAAAATAAAGTATCGCGTTCTTATGATTACATAAACACGAGAAGTTTTCTTATTAATATGTATACGATTATTCTTACTATGAAATCGGACAGCAACGTTCGAATTATGTAAACCCATCAAAACTGACAGCTTCAACATGTATTGTGAAGAGCTCTTGAAACTGATTTTTGTATTCTTTCAGAAATTTATAAATCCAATCTTCTGAAAGCTCTTGCATGGAATTAAGGAATCGAAAGTATCCTTTCACAAAGCGACGTATTTGGAAGGATTGGTTTAATCAAGGAGATTTACGCCTTTGAGAAAACCTTCAATGATCTCAGTGTTTATATCCACAAAAAATTATCAATTGCCTTGAATCTACGCGACTGAATAAACTGCCAAGGTGCACACTCAACTTTCGGACTGTAAACAACGCTTCCAATAGATGAAAATAACAAAAACAAAACGAAACGCAAGAAAACAAATAAGACCATATTACAAACGAATACATCTAACAAACAAACCTTAAAAAAACAACTGTAGATGGTAGTGAAATGTAAGTGTACATAGCGTGATTAATTTGCACAATTGATAGACTTTTGAAAATTTATAATTTGAAAATTCGTCGTGAGAAAACAAGATTTGAAATTTAAGACAGATTTGCACAAATTTAATATAATGAATAGTCGAATCTAACAATGAACTAAAAGGATAACGAACTTTTTCAACGACTATATCATCGAGAAAGAATTAGGTGCGGAGAGCGAATAAACCAATGGATACGGTGAGAAATGAGGAATGTTTTGGAAGAATCAAATACCACAGAAGAATCAAAAGATTACGCAATTATGAAGGCATTACATTCGGTAAAAATTAAAATCATGTGACTTATAACTGACAGAGTAAAGTAATACTCAGTTTGATCAATTGAATCACATAAAGACAGCCACAGGCTGTTTTTCATATACACATTAGCATACAACGGGACAACAGTCAAAACTGACTGGGTCCCAAACAATATGAACACCAATAAACATAAGCAACATAGTGATCGCAAAGGGAAGAATTTCCTTTCTTTTATACACTTCCTCAAATTTCTTTTGTTATGCAGACAGTTGTCTCAAGACATCGTCTTAGGTTATAATTTGAAAGACCGATGGTTAAGTGTGGTTGCTTATGAAAATAGTCAAGACCTCTCCCAATACGATAAATCCAACCGTTATCGAACCTTAATCAACGAACCATTTATAGAAATTATAGACAATAAATATAAGAAATGAATTATGAAAAAACATCAACACAGATGTTCCATACTTTATTATGATCTTATCGCTGATATGCAAGCAAATTCGATCATACCAGTGAACATGAGAAGATGCTTAACTACAAAACATTCGAAATATTGTGATCGGTTGAGCATTAAAAATGTTTCTATACCTAAAGATTGTCACTTTCACCTCTTCACCAGTGCTCAATGCATCGAAGAAATAAAAAATTCAATGGAAAAATTGATCAAATTATGGAATGAAAACTTTCAGAAGGCCAAAAATTAACCGAAAATACAGTGAGCAAAAAAAGAAACTAACCTAATCTCACGGTCATGAATCGTTTCACTTCGTTTAATCTCCAAATGAATTCCATTTTGGAACAGTGAACTGGTCAAATGTGAAAACAATACACGATGATTAACTGATGGATCATTTTGAGTTCGTAACACGATTCGTTTCAGATTTAGTGCGTTCGCCACCAGCACTTCACAAAATACAACAAAGTTCGCTGCCTAAAATATTCTCTCGTCATCATGAACACCAAACATATTATTTACTTCGATTAGTAGGTACCAAAGTTCCACTGAACCGTAGAGTAACGCACGAAAATATTCTCACTAATGGAGAAACACAAGCTAAATGTACCAAAAATGAACGGAAGAAGGTATCTGCCAACTAAAGGAAATTTACAAACGCAATCTAGAAATACTATTTTCTAGAGGCCATTCTGGAAACATTAAGGGAAAATGTATGTTCTCACATCAGCTTTGATCAGGTCAAAACTTTTTACCCATTTTTAGCGTTCCTCGTGACTGAGCACAATAACTGACCTGAGATCTCAGTTTAATGTATGGATCGTTCACAAAAACCGATCGCAATTTAGCGTCGAGTGCATCGGCGAATAATCGGTCGTAACCGTATCCCAACGTGCCATCTTCAATGTGAATCTCTTTCACCAACTTCACATTGTATCCTTTGGATGAAGACGATCGTTTCATTGCGCCCTCATCGAGCAGCTCCTTGATGTTCAACGATCCTAGAATATCTATTTTTCATAATCTACAGTAAGCTATATGAAAAATCAACATATCAGGATCTCTTCACAAAACCAAAGTATAGAAGTAAAAGGCATCCTGAGCTTCTCAACGGGAAACCGAAAATTTAACAGCCTTTTTAGCGCTAAAACTTTATTTTCGAGCATTCCGTTGACATCAAACTTAATTAGAAACCAATTCGCGAGAACAACAACATGAAAACATAGAAAAAAACCAATTCGAAACAAAACATTAGAAACCAATTCGCGAGAACAACAACATGAAAACATACCAGGTGCCCGTCTTGTTGGCTGCTGCCTTGTAGGACTTCGATCTGGTAACGAAATTACACTAGAGCCACTCTCTGAACATATTGACATTGCCGCTGAAAATCGATGCAAACAATGACAATATTAACGGAATCCAAAAAATAATGACCATCCGTTGAAAAAAAAATTTGTTCAGCTTGATTGACGATCCGTAAAAATAAAGTTACGAATGTGGAAGTTGTTTTTCCTTTTCAAGTAGATGATATCATCGTAGTTGGTGAAGACAGACTTTTATGAGAAGTATGACTCGAACGACGAAGTTCACTGACTTCGGAAAACAAATGAAACACTCACATGACGCTGAGGCTGAAGATGTACAACTTCCGCTTTCGGCAGATTCCAAATGAAAGTCGGTTAGAAGTTGATTCAACGACGGAGATTCTTCCAACGATGAGCTATGCCTAATGCTGTTAACATCTGAAGTAACAAAATCTCAAGTCGATATACTTCAAAGAGCCATAAAACCATATCCACCACGAAAAACCAAACCTCGTTCATCAGTTTTAACACATTCCAACGACTCTCGAAAAGTGTCGAGCTGCGATGCAAGTAACTTCGTCCAGCGATCCACATCATCTGTAGGACAATTCCGTGGCTTCAGCCCAAACACTGGTTCACTTCCCGTACGGGACATCTTCGCCGACTGGCAATCTACATTACAAAAACCTTATCAAACAAACCTCGTCAGGTTCACCACACACTTGATTAAGAGACTTATCAAAATCTTCTTTATACTAAAAAATTTCCCAGCAACTGTCAACTTTTCAGCAGAGAATGACATAAACTTAAAGCACCTTCATTCAGAAACTCTCAAATCCCGAAATCTCACAACAGAAGAACAGTGGACATTTAAGTAAAAATAGAACAAGTAAGCACCTACCGCGAAGACATTCATCTGAGAAAATAGATCGTTTCAAATTATTCGGATCTTCCGACAAAGAATCCATCCTTACCCACAACTATAACGACTGATTTGCTAACCTGAAATTCAAAACAATCACCATCTGAAAACATCGAATTCTAAAAAAATACACGAAAGATTTCCGCAATACTGTAATTGTGAAGCGCACAGATGATGTCATTATTTATGACGTCATTATTTTTAACATCATAAGGAACACACAACGACTGCCATGTTGCCAAACAGCGTAGTCAGTATTATAGAGATAGACGGTATAAGCGCTGTCGAGCAAGTGAAATATCCGTGCAAATTCAACAATTTCTATAAATGTAAGCAAGATCACCCAGCAAAATATATATTTTCCTGAAAGTGGAGAATCTGGAGAATCTGATCGTTGATTGAAACAGGCATGTTGCAGTGCAAACCTGAGAGTATTGTTAATTTGAAAATGGTGACCATAATATTGCCCATTTCCTGTTTACACTGACCAATGCAGATACAATGTGTTCAAAAGACCGCTTCAATTGTATGAGGTGATTGCAGAAAATCCTCAATATTACTTTGAGTAAACCAAATAGTCCGACGAATATACCGTGTTTTTAACGGCTAGACGTGAAGGGAGGACCTAGTAGTACAAGCAGTTACAAGGACGCTTCTCGATATCTAGTCTAGGCCAAGTTATGAGGGTATGAATTTTGAAAATTTCGAAAAATTTCGAAAAAAATTTTGCTTATATCTAAACAGCCGTTTGAGGTGGGGGCCTAATACTAAAACTTTGAATAGTATTAGGGAAGATCTTCGTCCCAGTAATGTTAACAATAAAAACATTTTTTGAAAAATCTTCGAAAATTTCACCGCAGGTAAGCTACCTGTGGATTTTTTCGGAATCAGTTTCGAGCGTGAACCCGTGTTCATAGCTGCTAGAAATGAAGGGAGAACCTAGTAGCATATCTCCTCGCAGAGGCGGAAATTTCATTTTCAGAAAGACGAGATTCTGCTCCATCGAATGATGTAAAAACATGAATATGTTTCCTGGCAAACTTGAGAAAACGGTAGGCTTGAATGTATCAAACCCATATTTCTATAGTAATGTGTAATATGCATTGATCTATAGTGATCAAATGCATGTCAA